TTCCAGTGGAAGTAAATCTCCTTCTGATGATAGATCTTTGATTGAAGAACCAAATGAAATAATTTATCCAGATAATAATTCTTCATCCAAAAACAGCGGTGATCCCTGTGCCGCTTACAGTAGACCTAGACCATTAATGTGTCTTATATTTCTTGTTAAGTTACAAGTCGTATGCAGTTATCATATGTTTACAATAACGAATTGTAGACATATAATAAAGTTAATATCTGGTGATGCAGGACGAGATAATTTTATATTTTTCTGACCCAACGTCATTGTAAAAATGTATATTATAAAATCATATTAGATTGATTAACAATAAAAATAATATATATATATACAAATATACAATAAGACAATATAAAACTTATATTAGATGTGACTGATTAGTACTAGTTATAACAATTTAATTATTAATATTAAAGCTATCTATGTGGATAACATATATTTTGTGAAGAATATTTGAGAATAGTAAGTCGTAAGTGAAAAAAATACCAACATGCAAGTAAATAATTACTCTAATTTCATGTACACGAGTTTTCTTTTAATTACATTATTAATTATTAACCATTTGCATCCGTAAGCGGAATATTTCGCACAGGACGATCCGTGAGCAACGACTTTCATTTGTCATGAGTAGAGTCGTAATTCAAATAAGTTAAAGAGCTAATCAGATTATTTCACGCGAAAAAGAAGATAAAATTTTATAATTTCATAGAAGAACTTAATTATCTGTAATTTTTTCTCATTATATTTTGTAGTGTAATAATTTTTCTATATGATTCTTTTTTCTTGATTATAATATTGAAAGAATTAAGTGAACAAAATAATAGTTCTTCTAATATTTTTAAATACACATATATATATATATATACATAAATATATATATCACCAGAATATAAGTTATTCGACTTTTTTCTGTGATGATTGAAAAAGTATTAAAAATTACATGACGTTGACAACTTATAAATACTTAATTTCTTGTTATTATACTATTATTAAGATAAGTGTGCTTTTTTTTATTTAATAACTATAAAATAATTGTACTTTTGTGTGAAATTATAATAAAGATTAAGATTGATGTATCGTATGAAAATATTTATCGTATACTAATAAATATGAAGAAACACATTTCTATAATTTTGATAATTTTATATTCCTTTTTAATTTACAAGGAATATGCTTCATATATTGAATATAGTTTCTTAATTTGTACTGCGCGCGTGAAGATCTATAAATTTGAAGCGCGAATCACTCATTGGAGTAGTTAACGTTCGATTTCCACTCTGCGAATTGGATTGGTTAATTCTATTTAAGCCACGCCTACTTTTGTGTTAGACAATGTAGGAGAAAAATGAAGTACATACTTTGTCGAAGAGAAAAAATAGCAATTTGCCATGAAGTCGGTATTCGGTTTCACGTTAAACATTGACGCGGGTGTAGAAGTACGTTCAAAAGGTGAACGGTGATAAATATATATGTATATAAACAAATCATTTTTAATCAAACAATTTTGACTGGAGAACGCTAATTAATCCACTGCATCGAAATCAAGTATCCTCTACGCTGTGTCATTGACTTGGGACGAAGTGTCAAAATCGCTCGAGTCCATCTTCGTCTTTGCCGACATTTGACCATAACAAAAATCATCAACCCGTTCGTTTGTAGTAATACATGTAACAAACAAAAGCTTAGTGATTTGGAAATTCGACTTTTCATCCGATCGTTATATATGATAGAAAATTACTATTTTCATAACGGTAGACGAAGGAATGAAAAGATGTATGTGACGCCAGTGCTATGTTTTCTTTTTGCTATGATATTGCATATAACGAGTATACCTTCGCAGTATTATCTTTAAAGAAATATCAGATTTGCGTGTTTGATAATATTATTGTATAATAATTAAAATTTGCTTTTATAATGTATAAATTTTCCTAAATATCGTGATATAGATAAAATTAAGAAGAGATTATGATTGTGATTGGTGTTCGTGTTTGTTATTGAAATGAATATGTTAATTATCTCATAAGATGGTGGTTATTTAATATTGTGATTTTTTGATGTCGGGTATATCATTATTAGAGTATATCAACGGATGAGTATGCATTATAAAAACAAATGAGATATAATAATAGGTTGTCCTATTATATTTACCTTATACCAAAGAAGATTTCTAAAGTGAAAAATAGCGTGAAATGCAATGCATTAATCATATTCGTTCATTTTCTAATTAAAGTCTAAAAATTACTGCAATGTTTTCATAACTTATCTACAATTGGTAATACTAAAATGAAATATGATTTTAGGTTGGTTTCCACATATTCCAATTAAATATGTAAAGATACAAACAACATTGTTTAATACTGTTGATTTCTTGGAATATATTTCATCATGACATTACACAAAGGGTGCAAAGAAACACTTAAAAAGATGTATCAAATAAAAGTCTTTTTTCACTGATCACAACTTATTGAGATTGGAGAGTGATGCCGGTTCATCAGATCAATGTTAATCCGCCTGACTGGCAACCACCTCTATCTCTTGGTCCTTCCACAAATAATAGTCCTGCTGGAGGAGAAGGATTACCAGAATGGACTCCACGGGTATGGTAATCTTCACAAAAAAAGTATAAGTAATAATAATAAAAAATATATAAATTGTACTATTGATATTATATATATTGTTTTCCTTTTAGGAATCAGCATATGCCACAGTTGTTACGATCATACCAGAGCATTGCCATTCATCTGTAAGCACACTATCTTCGAGCAATCATGATATTTGTCGGTATGTATATCATATTATAATTATTTTTTCTTCCTACCAATAGATATAAATATTAATAATATATTATTCTACATAGAATCTGCCATTGCGAAGGTGAAGAAGGTGCTCCATTGTTAGCACCATGTTATTGCAGTGGTAGCTTACGTTATGTGCACCAGGCATGCCTCCAACAATGGATAAAAGCATCAGATACACGTGCTTGTGAATTGTGCAAATTCACATTTATCATGCATGCTAAAACAAAACCTTTTTATGAGGTAGCAAATTTAAACGTTGATATATTTGAGCAATTGATATATTAAGCCAACATTGATATATTTAGCAATAAATTTAATTTATTATTAAATAATTAAATAAATTATCAAAATCTTTTTTTTTTTTTTTATTTATATTTTCAGTGGGAAAAATTAGAAATGTCTGCTTTGGAGGTACGTAAATTGTGGTGTGCAGTGGCTTTCCATGCAGTAGCTGCACTTTGTGTAGCTTGGTCCTTATACGTACTTGTCGAACGTTCAGTGGAGGAAGCTCGCCGTGGATTTGTAGATTGGTCCTTTTGGACTAAACTAATTGTTGTTGTAATAGGCTCTACTGGAGGTTTAGTTTTTATGTATATTCAATGCAAAGCATATATTACATTATGCAGAAAGTGGCGAGCATTTAACAGGTACATTTTTATTAGTACTTTATCTGCAAATTATTTATTTAACAAAATTTGATACTAAATATGTCAAAATTAAATTTATGTCACTAAGAGATTAATATTTATTTTTTTACCACATAGAGTGATATTTATTCAAAATGCTCCGGAGAAAGTGGTGCTTCCTCCCTCACCTACAGACTCTTTAAGAGAAATGTCATTGCCTCTAAAGGATCCAACTGCCTCCATGCCAGAGCTCAATCGTACCCTATTGCCCCGTACTATAGATCCTCCATGTGCCTCACAAATGGTAAAACCAGAATGTGTTGCGCCTTCACAGAGGCATGACGCCCAATTAAAACTTTATGTCTTTGATAAATTGTCTTCTTCTGAAGACAATCTATAATAAACTAAAAATGAAACGAATGCTAACTACATGAATGTAATTGGCAAAGTTTAATTTACGTATAAATGAACGGGTGAAGTGGTGATTTTAGAATATATTACGATTTCGAAAATTGAAATTCTCTTTTCGAAACCGTCAAGTATCCGCCCCCGTGAAGCACTTTTATTTGGAACTTAGTACTTCAGTGCTTACAATAAGAATGGGATAGCTGAAAGTGCTCGGTTAAAATACTGACATTTTTCTCAGACAATTGTGTACATAATTATTGTATCTGTGATGTTATTAAATAAACTTTACCATATTTAAACAATATGATTACTCGTCTCCTTTTTCAAAATTTTGGTATATAAATAATTAACTATATATGTAGATTATAAATTGTTTATGCAAAGTGTTCTATAGAATTAATTATATATTATATAATTATATGTTGCATATATAAAAGTAGTAAAAATAAATGTCTTATTTTAGATACTAATTAGACTTAATGTTTAAAATATTTGATTTCCTATTACTATCACGGTAAATACGCAATAGTTACGAGATTGGAGTAATTAAAACAAATAGGGTAATATAATTTTGGCGAAGTTCATAAATTTCTATTTACTTGTAATAGAAGTGATTTATTAATCAATATATATGTTAATTATAAAATTGGGGAACACATATTATGTTACATAATAAAAATCGAAACAATTCTCATATGAAATACAATACATATACATAGTAAAAATTGAGCTATTATGCTCTATGTTATCAACAATTTATAAAAGCAAACTAATGTTGTTGCTAACATAAAAATGAAATATTTATCAATTAATAATGATCGAAATTAAGTTCAACTTAGAAGCTATGTAATTATCATTTTAAAGGAAATTAAAACACAACCATTAACTCGACATTGCTTGCGTTACAATATGATAATAATTATTTCGAAAACAACATCGATTATCCAATTCTCACCTACGTGTAGATTGCTACGTGCAAATACCCTGCTCTGAATATGAAATATATAGACCATTTTCAAAGAGAATAAATAAAAAAACCTGTAAGAAATGTCATGTTGATATAAGATTCGAAATACTAACTACAAAACATTTATCCAATTTTCAAATTTAATTGGCGCTGTTGTTCCGATTAATGCAATATATGCTCAACAGAGAGCGCTGATAATACCGACACTAGCGCACATATAAACAACGAACGCATAACGAAAGTCTTTCTTGCCTACATGAATGTAGTCTTCCTACTTTTGGGTATTATAAAATCGAGGTTCAAACCGTTAGCTTTAATTCTGAGGTAAGTCAATAATATGTAATCCAAATATTATTAACGAATGAAATGTAATCGTCATATAAATTGTGTAAAGTTATAAAATAAGATGCTTAAGCTTTTATTTAAAAGTAACAGTTTACTTTATATATTTATTGTACGAAGAAAACTAGTATCATAAATTATTCAACCGCGAGGCAAACGATGCCACAAAGAACGCGTACTAAGTAACCAATTCATTTTTGTTTCATTAAATTTCGTTTGGCTTTTTATATATAACAAAAATTCTTCGATTCCACTAAAACACACAAATATATTAATTTATTTCTATGTAAAAGTTCATTTATTTTCTTCTAAATTGAACATATATGTTTTATGATATCAACAAGATGGCGGTTTCGTTACGTGTGCAATCTTATTGAAAATCGTTAATACCATGATTATATATATTTAATATAAAATATTTTTATATTTATAATATCTTCTAGAAGTTTCATTTCTAAATATTTTATCTAAATCCATGCATTTAATACTTTCAATTACAAATTTTATTAAGGTAAAATAATTCCATCATCTTTCTAGGTTGTAATAACATACTTTAGCATCTTAACATGGCAGATAACGATGATCTTTTGGATTACGAAGATGAGGAACAAACTGAACAAGTAGTCGATGGAAGTGGAGATGTCCCTGCTAAGAAAGAAGTAAAAGGCACATATGTGTCTATTCACAGCAGTGGTTTTAGGGATTTTCTTCTTAAACCAGAAATATTAAGAGCGATTGTTGATTGTGGATTCGAGCATCCTTCTGAAGGTAATTAATATATTTGTGGTTTGTTTGAATGTTAATAGATATTTTCTCTTATTATTATATTATAATTATTTGAGAATATAATAGGATGATAATTGATAGGGACAACAGATTAATTTAATGAATGATTTATCATTTCTGAATAATGCAAGAATTTTTTTTTTTTATTATATGTTTAAGCGTGTTTGTAAACCATTAATATTTTTACAGTACAACATGAATGTATTCCTCAAGCTGTACTTGGTATGGATATTTTGTGTCAAGCAAAATCTGGTATGGGAAAGACCGCTGTATTTGTATTAGCCACATTGCAACAGTTGGAATTAACAGAGAACCAAGTCTATGTCTTAGTAATGTGTCACACGAGAGAGCTTGCATTTCAAATTAGTAAAGAATATGAGAGATTCAGCAAATATATGCCTTATGTAAAGGTATGTTAAATATTTTTATTAATAATATTAAAGAAAACTAATTTTTTACTACTGACTTTATAAAACATCAAGTATTTCATTTCAAAATAAAGAATCTTCAAATGATGTATTACATATCTTAATTATGTTGATGACACCATTTTACCACTACCCACAACTGATGAAGATTCTTTCAAATTATTTATATTTTATAACTTAATAAAGAATAATAAAGGAGGTTTCAGATTAAAATATACTTTTTATAAAGCATAATATGTACCCAATTTCTTAAATCAGGTAGCCGTTTTTTTTGGTGGATTACCAATTCAAAAGGATGAAGAAGTTTTGAAGAATACTTGCCCTCATATTGTAGTAGGCACTCCAGGTCGTATTCTTGCTCTTGTTCGGAATAAAAAGTTGAACCTTAAACATTTGAAGCACTTCATACTTGATGAATGCGACAAGATGCTTGAATTGTTAGGTAAGTTATTAAACATTTAATTGTTTTTGCTTACTTCTCTTATTACGTTTAGATACATGAATAACATTTGTTTTATTTTTATTTGCAGACATGCGCAGGGATGTACAGGAGATATTTAGAAGCACACCACATGGTAAACAAGTCATGATGTTCAGCGCTACACTGTCCAAAGAGATCCGCCCTGTCTGCAAGAAATTTATGCAAGATGTAATTAGACAATCTTCCTCTTCACTTCGATCTTCAATTGCTTCTACTTCGTTGGCCTTATATTCACACCCAGGACAAAGATCAGACTACATTACAAATATCGTTGAAGGCGCACCCGCGGGTTAGGCTAGTTAGACAGCAGTCGGAAGAAATGATACAGAATTCAGTATTGAAAGCCCCTCGATATCTCTTGGCATCGGCACACTCATGATCTACAATATGAGCGTAACAACTTCACGCTCTAATGTTCTGTTGTTACTCAACAATGTCTACATTTTAAAAAGTGGAACCCTTCTCGTACTTCCCTCTTGAGTCGATCAAGACAGCTCAACAGCACTTTAAAAAAAAATCCGGTTTAGTTCTGATGTTAAAAATTCTCTAACCTTATGCTACGCATCCAAATTATCGATCTGTAAAATATCTTTGGTATATGAAAGTCTGAGGAAAACGATAGGGGATAGGATGGGTGAAGGGAGCTATTCAGCATCAGATGTGGGCGAATCGCTAGGGAGGGTGAACGTTTCTTACAAGTATTAGAGCCGTAATGAAAAAATTAAAAAATCTGGGTGGGGGGCGAAGAAGACATCAAGACAACCTGAAGAGAGAAGAGTGCAAGAAAGAAGATGCAAGAGGATTTGTGGGAAAGGGGTTTAGTTAGGGACGAGAAATACAACAACAATTGCGTAGCACATGATATTCGCGATTATAAAATCGTTATCAAAATATATTTTGTCTTGTCTCGCGAGAGGGTGAAGCTCTGTACGCGTTTAATCTCATATTCTGGGGTTATATCGAAATACGATTGATTGATAGGACTGAGAAACTACAAACAATGGAAGTGTCAATCATTGACCCATGATGGGAAGTCAGAAATATCTCGTATATCATGATTTATGAGCATGCTCTTTGTGTTTCACGACTGTGAACATAACTCCTTAAATAAGTCGCGATGTTAGAAAATATCGAAGGCCTTGAGCTTTACGATATACGAACATGCCCACAATAAAATAACCAAGGCCAATTCTGGGCATGTCTTCGATGTACCAGAAATTTGGCAGAAGAGGTTTGGCATCGAGTGGCCAGCGGATATGACTGAACATTCATGGGTGCGCCATCTTAGTTCTCTTGAGGTGACTGCTTGCTGAGTTTTCATTGTTGGCACTACCCAGAGGTGGAAGTCGCCGAACCGTATGTAACCAATATGCATAATCTGAACGACGAAATGTGCAGATCTTGAAACTAGAAAAACGAAAGTCTCATGAGGCTTTCATGTGCTGTGCCTTTTTATGAATAATGAGATAAAATTTCTCCTTTGAGAGAAAAAAAATAATTCCACTTACACTATATATCTACTCGTATATTATGGTATTTTACTTCAAGAAAACATTTATCCAAGTGTTCATTTTATATTTGATAAATAGATTATATATTTTCGTATTTGAAATATTCTAAATGCATAGAAAACAATTGTATTTATTTTTCTATCTTTTATTTGTTATTTTGTTTATCGTTTGTGTTAACGAGTCATTATTTTGAATCGTTTATTCCTCATATTTAGTTTTTTCTTTCTTTTTTCTTTTTCTTTTTTTTTAGGTTTAAAGTAACAAAAAGTAGCAAAAAAAATTTGGAAAATTAATTGTTATAGAGTCTGAAATTGATTCAGGCACTTCAATCATTAAAATAGGAAATTATCTTACAAAAAAATTCTTTGCGCAGCCCATGGAAGTCTATGTTGACGACGAAGCGAAGCTCACATTACATGGCCTACAACAACATTACGTGAAACTCAAAGAAAATGAGAAAAACAAGAAGCTTTTTGAATTGTTAGATGTTCTTGAATTCAATCAGGTCTGTTTACAATTGTAATTAAAATTCTGCATACATGTAAATTATTTTATACATACAAAATTAATTAATATTTATTATTTTATAGGTAGTGATATTTGTAAAATCAGTGCAAAGATGCATGGCTCTTGCACAACTTTTAACAGAACAAAATTTTCCTGCTATTGGTATCCACAGAGGAATGACGCAAGAAGAACGTTTATCAAGATACCAACAATTCAAAGATTTCCAAAAAGTAAGTATATATTCAACCATATGACATATTCACTATTGCAAAGTATTCTTTTTAACAAAGAAAATCTTTCTCTTTAGCGAATTTTAGTAGCCACTAATTTATTCGGACGAGGAATGGACATTGAACGTGTTAATATTGTATTTAATTATGACATGCCCGAAGATTCTGATACATACCTCCACAGAGTAGCACGAGCTGGACGTTTTGGTACAAAGGTAAAAAGATATAATTTTCTTTTTTACAGTGAATTTTTTTTTCCAGATATATAATAGTTTGCTTCATTTATATGTATATATGTAGGGTCTTGCTATCACGTTAGTAAGCGATGAAAATGATGCCAAAATATTGAACGATGTACAAGAACGTTTTGATGTAAACATTACAGAATTGCCAGATGAAATAGATCTTGCATCATATAGTAAGTGTTGTGAAATATATTTGCATATTTCTCTTTATTTGTAAAGCGTAAAAATATATATATTAATATAATTGTTTTAATATATTACAGTTGAAGGACGATAAATCAGATCTCAGTGCAAATCAAGTTTAAGCTTTATTAGGTATGTATACTTATGTTTTATATTTAGTTTAAGAATAAGATTTTCACGTAATTTTAATTTTCTGTTTAGATTTCATATAGTACGACTGTTCTTACAATTGATGTAGGATGAAGATAAATAACTCAAACAAAGAATAGATTAAACAGACAATATATACTTTTTGCAGTATATCTGTGCTATTCGTAACTCGTGTTTCATATAAATGCGCAGTTTATTTTCCTCAAAAACCAGAAATTTAATGAATATGAAACACATTGGTATGATCGCACTATCGTAAATGTTCTTTTAAATTTCACAATAAAATATAAAAATGTCGATAAATATTACTGTAATTTTATTCCACGTTTAATTATTAAATATATATAGTAGTTATAATCATGTAAATTTAATCACTCCAATAAATGTAAATGATACAAATAAATTTGTTTTCTTTTTTAAAAGCAATGTGTATTATATTAAACTTACCTACCAATAAAATGAAGAGAAACGTGTTAAAAAAAACTGTATTTAACAAACTTCTTAAAAGACTCAAGTTGATAAATATTACAACTTATAACCGGTTTTTGTACTATTTTTATATTGCGTAAAAGCATAAATATTTAAAACTAGTAATATTATGAAAAGAGAAAATAACAATTATATATATTTTAATTTAGGGATATCTCATAATAAATAAAAGCCAATTATATAAGAAAAAAAATTAATTATTATTATTTAATACGTGGTTTATTTTGAGCTTTGTTTCCTCCTTGATTACCGCTACCCCGACCCAATGATGCTGAACCTCTACCACCACGTCCAAAAGTACCTGCAAAATATATATTCTATTAGTATACAATTATATTTTCAGTTAATAAACTGTCATACCTCTACCACCTCCTCTTCCTCTTTGATTTTGTCCTCTTCCTTTCATTTCACCACGTCCTCTTGATTTCATTTGTACATCTTCTTTAACCATATCTATTACTTCATCTGGTATTCTGAGATATTTAATAGTACTACCACGAATATAACATTCTGGCATTCTCCAAAATTTGTCGCCATCCTAAATATATATAAATATATATAAATATATATAAATTATATATATATATATATAATGAAAAAATATAAAATAATAATTTTAAAATATACATCTTACCCTTGACGTACAAATAACTTCTCTAAGATTAATATTCATCCAATTGTCACAACTAACTAAGTGACCATTGTAAGTTTCTCCATTTTTTAATTCTACAAGCTGTAAAGTATTATAACATTCAATAATATATCATTTATAGTAACTTTGTCATTTTAAGGTTATAATATTACCATAGGATGATTTTGTGCAGTTCTTAATAAAGATAATGGTAACTGAAAATTAGTTATTGTTAATTTAGTTTAATACGTAAGTATAAAATAGAAGATAATTAATTAAGCAATGTGAATTTACCATGATTTTAATATAAATATCACTCTCCCGCCTTTTTATATTGTTATGAGCGAGCGAGATAATAAAACTTTGTTAATCCTATGAGTGTTGAAATGACAATACGCCATGTTCTGAAAAGAACATGGCCCATACACATAACAATTTTTATTGATTGGCTAATATTTTGTCCAACAAATAATACTAAATATAAACTATAAACTTTAATATTTTATATTTATTTATTCATTGAAGATCAAATATGTAATATATTTATTTTCTATTTCTTTGATCGTAACAATAGATAAAACAATCGTACAAATAAATAGAAACCAACACATAATTTTATGGCACTAACTTCAAGCGATTAAACTTCTCGCAAAATTTAACAGATTTATTATGCTTACGAAAAGCTTTTTTACTACTTTATTGCTGTTTTATGTTGACACTATCGTGATTTTGCGTGATATAATCATGTTATGCATTATCCAAAAGCGTATAATACAAAAAAGTTATTGCTTAACACGACAGTTCACTTCAAAGGTTATTTGTTGTCAATTAAATCAACCTGAAAAACATATATTACAATCTGATAGCAATTTTACGTCTATACAAAGAGATCCTACATTTTTAAAAATTGCAATAATTGGTGCACCAAATGCTGGGAAAAGCACTCTTATTAATAATCTTATAAATAGATCTGTAAGTATTCATAGTTATCTTTAAGGAAAAATGTAATTATAGCATTTATTAGATATCATAATTCATCATAAGAAGTTATGTTGTAGATATGTCCTACTTCATCAAAGGTTCATACAACTCAAGTAAAATGCGATGCAGTATATTCATCAGAAAATACGCAACTTGTTTTTATTGATACTCCTGGTCTTATAACACAAAAGGAACAAAAAAAGTATAAATTAAGTAGTAGCTATGAGAAAGATCCAAAGATTTCTACTCATATAGCAGATATTGTTGGAGTTGTACATGATGTATCAAATAGATACACCAGGAATAAGTTAAATAATAATATTCTTGATTTATTAAAAGCTTTAAAATCTGATACACCTACATTACTCATTATGAACAAAATTGATCAAGTAAAACATAAAGATAGGTTATTGGAAATTATTAAAGTACTTACAAATAAAACAAATTGGCCACATTTCTCTGATGTATTTTTAATATCTGCATTAACCTCTGATGGTATAGATAGTTTGAGAGTATGTATATTTAAATTCAAATTATTACAAAAAAATATATATATAATATTTTATATATCTGAATAATTTTTATTATATATTTTTTTATTTAATATCATGTGTTGCAGGAGTATTTAATTTCTTCTGCAAAACCTAAAGCTTGGCAGTATAATGAAGATACTTATACAGATCAATCTCTAGAAACAATCATACAACAAACAGTACGTGCAAAGTTAATGGATTTTCTCCCTCAGGAAATTCCTTACATTTCACGTTCAGTATTAGAATATTTGAAAATATATTCAGAAGGAGGCATCTGTGCTTCCATTATAATAGAATTACCTAATAAAAAAAAGAGTTCCATTGTAATTGGTCAACGAGCTAAACGTATAAAATTTATCGTCCAAGAATGTGAAAAAGAACTACAATATGCACTTCGAGCACCTGTAAAATTAAAAATATGTGTTAAATCCAAAAAATAAATCTAGTATTTGTTCTATTATATTTGTTCTTATAACATAAATTATATATGAAAAAACTATTCAAAGCATTCTACGCTAAAATCGTATGTATTTAATTTATGTATATATGTTCATTAATTATTCAATATATTTGTTATTTATTACATTATCAAATCAAGATATATACATTATTAAATTTGTAATGATTTTAATAACACAATATTTTTTCTTTTGAAATAAATACTTTCTCTCTTACACATTTTTTATGCCATTACTAACAATTTCAGCTTTCAATTTTAATGATTCACCCAGTATTTGTATTATTTTAATATTATTAATAATACTAACAATGACAAAACAATATTTATAGCTTTATTTTCATTTATGTTACATTAGCTTTAATATGTTTTTGGTTAGGTGTGTATGTATATGCCAATGTCAAGTAAATACGCGTTGCGTTGTTTGATGCACGTGTTTAATCACAGCGTAAGAAATATAAATAAAAACTATAAAAAGTGGTCAATCTTTGACATATAATGGCTAATAGTAATTCTACAAATGTCCCTCAAATACAAATAAGGTTTATTACTAAACAGCAACAGTAAGTTGTTTTAATTATTTTAATCGTTGTACATATTTTTAGGTTATATTATGTACATATTTGTTTATATTTTTTATTTGTCTAGTATAATAATGAATAAGTATTAGTATACTTATTAATATAAGAATATATCTTATTGATATAAGAATAATAATAAATATTAATTTATACTTGTTTGTAGATTTGCTGTTCCAGATTATCCTTTGTCAGTACTTACATCTATTACAACAAATGAATTAAACAGTCTTGTAAATGAATTTTTAAAAGGTAAATCTAATATTCTTATGTTATATAGTTTTTGATGATATACCTATTGTAAAATTAATTTTTTTCCTTTTTTAGAGTCTCATCAGTTAGAAAAAGAAATAGATTTTGATTTCTTAATCTTCTCACAGTTTTTACGTAGTACATTATCTGAGCATATATCTGAAAAGAGTCTTTCTATTGAACAAGTCATAGACATTGAATATATCGAAAAACATCAGTCACCAGAACCACAGAATTGTCTTATTCATGATGATTGGGTTTCAGCAGTAGCTGTATGTCAAAAATGGTTAATATTAAAATATTTATTTGTGAGATTTTTTTCATTGATTTTTTTATAATATTTAAAATTAGATTTAATTATCTATTTTTTATAGGATATTGACAGGTTGTTATGATAATACATTGCATATATGGACATCTAAAGCAAAACATCAACTTGTAATACCTGGACATACATCTCCTATTAAAGCAGTAGCATGGGTATCTTTAAATGAAACCAATGGAAAATTTATTAGGTGAAGTTATAATAAAAAGTTTGAATTTTAATATGACATCCATTTGTACATACATATTTTAACTTTATAATTATATATATACTCTTTATTACAGTGCATCACATGATCAAACAGCTATAATATGGGATTGGAATATCAAAACTAATTCTGTAGATTGCATCCATGTGTGTAAAGGACACGAACGAGGATTAGAAGCAATTGGTGTAAATTATGACAAATCATTAATGGCGACAGGATCATGGGATACAATGTTAAAAATTTGGTCAACCTGTAAGTATTTTTTTCTTTCTTTTTTTCTATATGGTTTAAACGAGATAAAAGTAGTAAATGAAAATAGATGAAACAATAAAACAAAAGCATAAGAAATTCAAAAGAAAGTGAATCCAAAATAATATATCATTATGAAATCGAAGAAATTTAATTTAACTGTATATTCTGTAGGATGATGTATATATAACACAATCTGATACATTAATTATTTTTCGATATATAAGCTTCACAGAATGAAACAGAAGATGGTGAACCTAATGCAAAAAAATTAAAAGCAGATCATGGAAAAATAAAAGTGAGTAATATACTTTACTAGGTAAATCTTTTTTTGATGTTATGTATATATCATATATTAATATTTTTTGCAAAAATGTAACTATTAATCATAGGTACCTAAAAGAACAATGAAAGGTCACAAGGAAGCTATCAGTGGTATTGTATGGTCAGATAAAACAGAGCTTATAACATCATCATGGGATCATACTTTGAAAATATGGGATTCTGAATTAGGTGGAATGAAACATGAAATTATGGGAAATAAAAGCTTTTTTGATATCGATTACTCAGAATTATCTCGGACTGTTATAACAGCATCTGCTGATAAGCATGTCAGATTATATGATCCTAGATCAACAGGTACATAACTTACAAATGATGCTAATTTTGTATTACATAGAAATATAATTTTAAATAATGACTTTACATCACCTAAAATTGATTTTACGATTTATTAGTTATTATTTTAATGAAATTTTTACAGAAGGAGCAGTTGTAAAAGCTATGTTTACTTCACATACACAATGGGTACAAACTGTTCGCTGGTCAAATGTAGATCATCATTTATTCCTTTCAGGAGCATATGATAATGAACTGAAACTTTGGGATACTAGAAGGTATATATATCTTATAGTATTGGTATTTCTTTAATGGCTGTACAAATTAAATCATGAATAACATATATGTTTACAGTCCTAAAGCACCCCTTTTTGATCTTTCTGGACATGAAGATAAAGTTCTGTGTTGTAACTGGTCAAATCCTAAACTAATAGTATCAGGTGGTGCTGATAATACTGTAAGGATATTTAAATCAAAGCAATTCGTGCATTGATTGTACTTTTATCTTGTACAATTTTAAATATATGAAAATATTCTACATTTTTGTACAATTTATAAATATATATATATATTTATTTATTTATTTATGCAGATACATAAATACATATATATATATATATATGTACATAAATATATATATATATATATATATATATATATATATATTTATTTATATATATTTATGTAGGTAATTTTCTATATTAACTTATTCAACAAAAATTCAGTGCAACATATAAAGTCAAAGTTTTAAAATTTTTTATTAAACTTGTTTATGAATTTGTTAAATTTCATGATCATTACGATCATATATTTACAGAAAACATTCATTGAAAGAAAAGGTTGTAAAAGATCATTGCAAAAAAAAGATTATAGAATTTGCAGTCGGACAATTTATTTTGCAATACTATAAAATCATTAATGAAAATGATGTAATTGTCTTGATATATTACCAACAAAAATTTCTAAGCACAAGTTTCCTTTATTGCACATAAACTATCATAAAATGTAATTTTAAAATAATCAAAGTAATATCTTTGTAAATATTGAAAAGTATCGGATTTTGTATTGCCAATATCCAAATATGGTATGATTGCTTTCGAAAGTTATTTAATCGCATTAAATAAAATTACGGACAATTAATATATTAGATGCTGGGGGTATATCACATGAAGCTAGAGGATAATGTGGGGGCATGGATTCAGTATTAAATACAAAGGACAGTTTTGCGCATTCTATTGCACATGCTGTATACTATAATACATTAGTAAATATTATAATATTCCGTACCAAAGTTTATGAAAAAAAATTATGTTCAATTAAGCTCTTTCATTTCTTACGGAGAGTCTTAGGGTTCCGCCATTTTAGAAGACATATACTAATCGCTATTCGATTTTGTAGAAAGCATATCAGTACGAAGTATATATAAACGGAGCTAGTGATTTGTATGAGAGGAAGTTTATTTCGTAGACCCTTATTCTATCCGCTGTAACTACAGTTTTCAAAGCCGTAAAAGAGTCTGTCTTAAGATTAATAAAAATATGTGAGTGTGTGTACGTGTGTATTATCATTCGTTTCATTATCCAGAGAAAATTTCTTTTTTGTAAATCGATTTCATGTAGTACAAAATTATTGCAAATGTATATAATGTATTTGGGGATTCATCTTTCGAATTGAACGCTTTCGTTCATTGATATATGCTTATTAGTTTGTTTGTTTAGCTTTTTTTTTTTAATAAAAAAGTAGGAAAGGAAAAGAAAAGAATTAATCAAATAAATCCCCAAAACAGATCGTTTATTGATCAAAAATAAGGGACGATAATAATTAGGAATTTGATTTTTTTTTCATTTTGAATATACCAAACCATAGTCGTAAGTAACTCTAAGACTGATCGGTGCACGTTCCTATACAACGTATAGGATGGCAGAGAGCGTGCACTCGCAGTGTGCAGTTTTACAGTAACAGTGTCTGCAGTCGGTGTCGTGTAATAGGCAGATGATTTTGAAGTATGCATAGTGAATGTATGCATATACCTACACACCACGTGCTCTTTCTCACACATTCTCTCTTTCTTTCTCTTTCTCTCCCTCAATCTCTCTCGCGCGTGCGCTTACATTTTTTCATTTTCTCACTCTTTTTTCTTTTGTTTTGTTTTTTTTCTGTTCTAGAAGATCCTATCTAACCCCCACATTATCTCACACAAAGACTAGCGTTTTTAAACGATCCAAAATAAACTAAGGGCACTTTTAGTGTGGCTTATGCCCTGTCCTTATTCAAGTTTCATGGAAAATCTAATTCTGACCGTTGTTAAACTTTGTTTTATTACAGCACCTATCGACTTCTAAGAGTCCCTATCTTAATTAGCTATGACACACTTGCCTTAATCTAAGTTTCGTTACGTGCTATACCTCGCCATCTTAAAGTATCTGAATCTGTATAAATCGATCCTTGTACGCGTAAGTCTCCAACGTCGTTTTCGTGTTTGGGTTCTCATTGGTCGCACACCGCATAACAATATATATATAGTGGAAAGAAAAAAAAGAATAATAATAAGCAGACAGTGTTATGTTGTTTGGAGAATTACATGTCCATCTTTCATTATTAATTATCAACATAAAGGAATTGAGTACATTAAATGAAACAACAAAATAAAATAGAAATAGAAAAAAGAAAGAAAACGGGAAAAGGGAATGGCATGGGATGATTCGCGGGGACGGGGAAATAGGATGTTCAAAATAGATAGAAATCAAGATCATTACAAACTACAACCTTTGCTTAACAATGTAAAACAATGACTTCAAACTTCGTAAACTAAAGACTGTACAAGTCGAAGTACGATCATGTTCTCGATATAACATCGAGTCAACATGGACTCGTTTTCTTCTTTTATCTGCTTTGTTCATTCATTCTTGCAAGTAGCTCTCTCTCTCCCCCATTTGCTCTCTAGCTCATAAATTCATTTATTCATTCATTCATTCATCCACCCACCCACCCACCCATCCATCCATCCATCCATCCATCCATTCATTCATCCATCCATTCTTTCTCTCTCTCTTTCTCTTAAGCCGATATCGACTAACATGATTTACTTAAAAACACTCTACGTTTTTTTCATTTTTTGTCTACATTAACCTACAACTACACGTTATCTGATCTAATAGATTCTACGCTAGAATTCTAAAGAAAGCTTTACGGAAAGCAGCATTGCTTGGAAACGAAGTTTCCAAAATGGTTGTGTAAACCATAGCCGGCCAGCCCAAGCACCCGACCCGCGGTGCGCAGCAAGCAGTCCTTACTATTTATATTACAAGTAGACATAATATGTTGTAGAATAATAATATATATTTATTATTAATATGAATAGCCAGTCAGTCTTGACGGGTGCGAGGTGCATAGGCTGAACGGTGCCATAGCCCCCTGCGATCGAGTAGGGAGCGAGGCAGTTTATATTCTAACTATCGCTAATTTTACTTTACCTAACTTTAATCGCTTATTCGGTTACTTTTATTCTTAATCAAAATGGTTGCCTAGCCTATTCATAGTCAACACTAGCTACACACAACTTGTCGCTGTGCTCCTTTCCTTTCTTCACGTTCTATACAATAATTTTATATCTTTTTTCTCATCACTTTCTTTCTCTTTCTTTCTCCCTCCCGATCCGCGGCTCTCCGTTTTTTAATCCGCATGGGCGCCTCGGCCGGAGCATCTTTTCACGCTCAGTCAGCACTAATCCTTTTTCTTTGTTTGGTCGTCACAATAATTATTAGTTATTTAGTACAAGTTTATTAGTAAAATTCTCAAAATTCACTATTTAATCACATGTGATTTTGTTGTCAGTCGTGGTGACAATCGCTTCTGGAACAATACACACTCGTAAATAGGTTCTCCTTTCGCTTCTTTCTTTTCTTATCCTCTCTTCTTTCTTTTTCTCCTTCGTTGCTTCCTCCAATTTCTTTCCTTTTTATCCATTTTTTTTTCTTTTCTTTCATTTCTTCATCCTTTTTTCTTCTTTTTCTTTTTTCTCCTTTACTTTCTTATTCTTATTCTCACTTTCTATCTCTCTCTCCCCCCTTTCTCTCTTAATGCATGGACTCAAATCGAGTAATAATCGGTCTTTTAAAAAATAGCTCATACCATTTTTTCATTTTTTATCTCTTGTCATCAAATCGTGATGTACCAAAATAAACTAAATATATTATTTACTTCAAGTCTCAACAGTGTAAAAATCTTTCATATTTTAGATGTCGTCAATAATAGTAATCGTTAATTATAATAATACAGCATATTATTGTAATATTATAATAATAGCTACGATCGCCTCTAACTCTATCTAACTACCTGTCCGCCACATGTCACATGAGCCACTCGTAGCTCGCATATTTGGTAGAAAGCTTTCTGCTAAATCGTTCCTCGACTCGATTCTAAGTCTGACAACGACGTGAAACTTTTCCGGATATACGACGACGACCGGAGAGAGGTAGGAAAACATAGGGAGAGAACCTTTTTCTTTTTTCTTCCCCCCCCCTTTTTCTATACCATCGTCGTTTGAGAGTCTTTTTCATATACTTTGTTTTATACACTCCACTCCACACTTCACCGAAATTTCTCGCCTATTTTTTCGCTACCGCCCCATCGTTCGTTCATTATCTTCATTCATTTAGTATCGCGTTTATTCGTTCGTTCGATATAATAAATTAATTTACACTCTAACTATCATCATATCCCGTCGTAACAAAGCTTACTAAGTTTCTCGGGCGGCACGCGTTTCGATTACAAGAATCCGCCATTTGATTTCTTTTCTTAATTTTTTTTTTTTCTTTCTCTATGCAACTCCTCCGACACTACCTGATGTTTCATTTTACCAATCCCGTTAGTGGCAACTATACATACAAAATCTATCAAATTCATAATCAAAAACAAACATAGTTGATTAACTGGCTACAACGCAAAAACAATTATATTCTCTTAACTAGAAGATCAAAATTTGGCTCAGGTTTCACATTTACATTCCGATGTTAAAAATATATTATAATATTTTTCAGCATATCCCTGTCTAAGTGGATTTGTCTGAAAAGGCACAATTCTAAAAAAAATATCTGCATTTACTGTACAATTAAAACTGATATCGATTCATAGTAACTGTACTCATAAATATAACACTCTCTAAAGAGTACTATGTTTTTTTCGTTCACGTGCAATAATTATTGTATATTATAATTCTGAAGACTTTTAGAAACAAAGCTTTCCTCTCTTGTGTGTTGCTTTTTTTCTTAGTAAAATGTATCGTTCGTGATTAAAACAGAACGTGAAATATCGTAGAAGTATTAGATTAAGATATATCCACGTGGCAGTACACACATGTACCTGGCTTGGAATGTCTGAACGAAAATAAACCGATAAAAGTGCGGTAAGCGGGTGGAGTAGCATGTGCTGTGAATGAGGAGTTTCGCACGTCGTTGAAATTCGTTACGCGAATGGTATCTCCCTTCTCTTACAGCCAAGCCACCGGCCAGCCAGCTGGCACAAGTCCGGTTGGTACTGATTTACAACCATACTGAATCTGAATTTTTATCAACTCTAGCATTGGAAGTGCTCTCTGTATATTATTATTCTTATTATTCTTATATATCATTATTTTATTATTAATATTATATTATTATTACTCTTGGGAAGAATTCTCTTTCGTATATTTCTGAGCAGCGTTTTCATAGTTTACATTTTTGTTAAAATATTTATTCACATTCTCGAGCCTTCAGCTTCGACTCATAGTCTCCTTAGTATATGTAATACCTAAAGTTATCCTGGAAGCCTATCAGCTTGACACTAAACTGTTCATTGCAAATATCAGTTTGTCACTGTCATATAATGTGCTGGTACAGTGTAAAGAGTCGAACTAGTGTCGAACATGTAGAAGACACGCCAGTCTCATACCCCATATTACGTCAATATCCTTTCTTGACTCGTTGCAAAATATTAACTACTTTCACCTATTTAGCTGATGGATAAAATGTATAAAAGATGGCTGGCAAGTCAATTTATCATGAGGAAGAATCTTATCTGACTTTATGTTATGTATTTATCTCATTCTATTCTTCGTTAATAATAATCCCTTGTGTTCAGCATGTGTATCCGTTTCTAACTTATGTAGCCCTCAGCATATTCGTATCTGTATATTAGAAAATATAAATTTATTAACTCTGATTAAAAATAACTTCATGTAATATAAAAAATCGTAATTAAGAAATTATGATTGTTAATAATTATTACATATTACTAACCTATAAACCGTATCCTACTTGGGCTGCTGAGCTTGGTACTGCTGATAAGAATCATCAGGAGATGCTGCATTACTGGTCTGTTCAGAATCGCCCAGTGGTATTGGATGGATAATGCTAGGTGGAGGATAAGTAGTATAAGAGTAGGGATGAGGACTTGCTATGTACTGAAACAGGATAAATCTACTATTTAGATATATATATATATATATATATATATATATATATATATATATATATATATATATATATATATACGAATTATAAAAGATTTCTTATATCAATTAAACATTATAGCCAAATTGTAAAAATATATTAACCTTATCATAATTTTCTGTTAGTCATTCAAAATATATTATTGCTAAATACATAAGAACCACTTGATTAGAAATGCTTTATATGATATATATTTAAAAGCATTAAACGAATCACAAACAATTTCATAAAAAATTAATATTACTTACGGAACCAGTGCCAAGATGCATTGTAGACATTTGTGTTGTAAGCTGAGGAATTATACTGTATTGAGGATTACTAGGATCTGCAGATGGCATCATCTGTAAAAATACAAACAAAAATAAATGAAATAAAATTTCAATAAGAAAAAATACTACTGTGGGATATATTTAATAAATAATTTCAAAAAAGCTAAGTTTAATAATGTATCAATAATAAAATAAATTGTTGTAAAAGATAATTATACATAATATACATATGACTCATTTAAAAACAAATGTTATGATTTATTCCAAAATAAATGTTGTAACTTATTATTAATTTTATATTATAATAAATATTATAATAAATAATTTTATAGAAATATAATATATATAAAATATTTAGAACAAATAAATGAAAAACTTTTCTTATAAAAACTCACGTCGACCTGTTGCATATGAGGCGGCGCGGGCTGCACAAGGTATGGTGTGACCCAAGGAGCTCCTGGTACGCTATAGCCAGGGACAGCTTGACCATAATGACGACCATATTGAGTTAAAGTTGCTGTAGGTAACATATGAGCTGTGGCAACACCATTCTGACCAACTCCACTTGCATCATAATTCATAGTCATATTCTGGTAATAAAGAAATTAATTATCGTTATAATAATCTTCCTAAATTTGAAGTACATCATATATTTATATACTTACTTCTCCAGTGTCTCTCCACATTGTACTTTTATACATTGATTTTTTTTTATTTCCGCCATCAGCAAATTTAACTAACAAGGGATCTTTAGCTCCTTGTAATGCTTTTCCATTAAATATTTGAATTATTTGCTCACACTTTTCTTTGGATTCCATTCTAAAATTTAGATAATACACATTTATAATTATTTTAAAATATACAATTAATAGTGCATGTATATTTTTATTAATTTGAAATTTACTAACCTTGCAAATCCAACACCTTTACTTTGTCCTGACGTGTCACGTAAAATGCGAGTCGAGATGACTTGTCCATATTGTTGAAGTAGTCCTTCAACATCATTTTCTTTAAAGTTCAATGGCAGGTTTGCGATATACAGATTTGTAGGATCCTGTTCCTGTTGCTGAGAAGAAAGTAAAAATACTATGCAACATATTGTATATTTCACTACTATAGATATAGCATCTTAACGAATTATTATCATTTTGACTTTTCAGATATGTATCATGTATGTACTTTAATATACTTTTTACTTAATATTACACTAAATCATATTTATCCTCATTCGGGTGATAAATGAAATGAAATTTTTTATAGAACGTTATATAAAATTATATAAAATTATATAAAATTATATAATAATTTTAAAAGAAAAATAATATAATATAAAGTTATTATACTATTTTATTACTTATTATATATTAAATAATAATTTCATGTGTAATATAGAATGTGTACATACATCTGATCTAAAAAATTAAAATGATTATTTGAAAGCTGTATCTGGTATCATTTGGCACACACAATATGAACAATTTTTAACTTATAAGTATTAAAATGTTTTTAATGTATTTTGGCAGAAATATAAAATCACGTTTAAAATTATATATTTTTTGTACATTAACTTATTGATATTCATTATTAAAACATGATGTATGTCTACAACAATGATACTACAAAAAAAATTAGTAAGCTATTTAAGGAGTAATTATTCTGGACTAATCGCAAGAATGCAAATGGACAGATATAAAAAATGACTGAATATGAATTAAGACAATAATTATTGTTTTCAATGTTGAAAGGTTATCATGCTTCATGGCATTAGGCTTCTCCACATTCTGGTGCCTCTCTAAATTTGCTTTAAAGATGCTTTGATATTTTTTTTACTAAACTCATACCACATATTCCATTATTTGATATATGATTAGATTCTTTGAGGTCAGAACATGCACACATAGGTACCTACATACCTACACGTAGGTATATCATTGATATTTGTATTTTCAATAATAATTTGCAATTTATCATAATAAAAATTACTGGTGTTTCTTACAATCTTTCTGTATTTTAGAGAAAAAGCAGTACTTAAATATTCATATGAATGACTTCTATTTTTCATTAAAACACATTGCAATTTGATATGATTTAATATTGATATGACATTAATGTATAGTTTTGTGAACTAATACAATAATGTCTATGAACTAATAGAAGATAAAGATATTTCAGAACTATATAAAATATAAAATATGAATATCATATTTGACTACAAAAATAATAAATAATAATATATTAAACGAAGTACAAATAGATTACTCATTTACTTTGATAAAAAATATTTTAACAATAATGAAAGTTACTACATTTGATTGTTAAAATCTTAATATATAATGTACTTATATAATGTATACACTTTCAAAAAATGAATATAACTTTATAATCAATTACATTCATATGCCTTTTCAATTTAGCTGACATGCAAGAGTTCCTTAATTCACATTTTTAATACAACACCTTCAAAATAAGAATTAAAAAATGTGAAAAAAATTTAAGCATATACATAGGTGTATTTAAATTGTATTTATATATTAATCATAACCTTACGTACGAGTTTACTGACAAATATGTAGACAAATTTCCTCTATTCATTTTTTTATACACTGAAAGCAATAGGAACAGATTACATCAGTTACATATGACATTTTCTTTTTTAATGAAGCAAAAGGCAAAGCACAGATATTGCAACGTGTACATAGTTCGATTTTCACAAAAAAAGACTGTGATTTACTATATTGCAGAAAACATATGATGTATGTAAATATATGTAAGTACATACATATATGTGTTTATACTCATGTTTTTATTTATGAATTTATAAATGAAGGATTGAAACAAACACAAGTGTATGCTAAACTAAATTTAAAATCATTATTATGCACCCTCAAGCATATTTTGAGATTCACCATTTCTGTCAAGTATCAATCAAATCTACAATTACTTGAATATACTTATACTTTACGACAATTTACTTCAATCTTGCGAATGCATTAAAACAAAAGAACAAATAATGAAAATATTATGATATAAGCCAAGCTGATGGCATTTATGTATGTATACAGATGTCCCTTTTAAAATTAATACCTCAATTATTTCTAATAAATACTTTTTTCTTGATGAAAATTGATAATAAACATTCATCAAAAATTTACTACATCACTAGAATATTTCTCTGTATCTTTAAGATATACTTAACTATCTATTTTGTTTTGTATATTTTTTATCAATATAGAAAATTAATTGTGACATTATTTTTGAAAGGGCCATTCTACATACATATACACATATGGATATATAAAGATATGTACATACATACACACACACATAAATCAATATGCATAAGTACATATGTACGTATGTGTGTATGTTTGTATAATAAAGTAATATACTTCAATGTATTTATACTTTAACTAAATGACTCATATTTTGATCAAGTGCGAGTATACATAAATATATAAGATTCAAATACTTCTGTGTAAGATACGCATATACTTATTTAATTGTATACACTATTCAGCTTCAATAAGGATAGCTAATTAAATTATAAATAGTTAGATCATTGGATATACATACTTTTTATGATACATTAAATAAATGATTTCATTGAATATAAGATTCTATTGCGAGCAAAAGGAGCATGTATTAATGCAAAGTCAAGAATGTGAAATCCATGATTCAGGTAACCATAAAACATTGTATGATTATTTTGAATTCATGGTACTTGAATCTTATAAAACAATCTTTGAATATGTTTACAAATTTATTGGTGTGCTGGTTAAACCTTCATTATTTAAGCCAAGTGTGCCAATCAGAGCCAACCAACACCCCAGGGGTAAGATAGCACCTGATCATCACATAGCACCATTGAATGGTAAGTATACCGTGTACCCTGAATATAGTTAATAGTGGGTACACATTGTTTAGTCGTATCATATCACATGCGAACGACATCATCACAGCTGCTTGTGGCACCCTCTGCTTTTACCACGGCCAAATTGAAAGATATTTAGTTAATTTCATTTTAAATAACTTATTGATTTCATTTGATTAAAAATTATCAATATTTAATATCACAGATATACTTATAGATAAATTAATTTATTTATAGAAATATAGAATATTATACAATAGTTATTAATAAAATGAACTAATATAAAACTAAATTATGTTGTATTATATAAAAAAAAATATTTGGCGATACAGAAAATGTATTAATTATTTTAAAAATGGATTACTTTTGTAATAACTGTGTAAAATACTTCTAATCATTTTAATAGAAATATCAATACTAGTACTTTAGTATAACAAATAATTGATAGAGGTTTAACATTAGACTAAATAGAAGTAATTTTGAAAAATCATCATAAATATTTTGATACAGCAATATTAACAATTTGTGGCCGAGGCATAGCAGCAAGCATCAATAGGTTTGTAGGTATTTAAGACAGAATAATAGACAGAACCGATTAATGTAAAAGAGCGTTTCTAGACAAGTGAGACAGGTCTTGGTAGGGAGAGAAAAATATTGGTGAAACATAAATGAACTTGTAATTCCATATAGATGCCCATGAGTACATTCCTTTCGATTACTGATTATATGTAATAAAATATTCTATTAGAAAATCTTTGATGAATATAAAATTGTATCACATAAAAATATGTTACATTGTAGTATTCATTAATACATATCCATAAAGTAAGTTTCATCAAACAAAATTTAAAAAATCTATATTATGAAATACAAAAGACAATATATACTGTAAATAAGATATTGCACATACAATATTTTATAAAAGTTCTCATTGAACAGTAATACTTGTCATATGACTACTTTTATCTTCTAATAAATTTAATTATAATACAATCACATGGTACTCATGTGCTATATAATATCATTTTTTCATGATGGAACTAAGATAATTGCCTGTTGTTTAAAAAAATTTTTGAGAGAATTATTAGCTATAATATGATATACATATGAATTTGGATAAGAATTTGGAGGGAGAACAGATGGATTAAGAACAGGAAGAATAAATAAAAATCAGATTGAGTGAGAAAGAAAAAGAAAGAGAAAGAAAGAGAAAGAAAGAGAAAGAAAGAGAAAGAAAGAAAAAGAAAAAGAGGTTTACTGTTACTCTGGTATTACTGTACTTGCATGCACAACCAACGTACACTTGCCAGTCTACGGAGCAACCAGATACCCACTTTCGCCATCTGCGCTTGGATGCCCTTGGCGACCAGTGCTTTCACAGCACCCTCTGCCGCCACCGGTGACTCAAAGTCTACAAAGCCATAACCTGAAAAACAATTTGATTATAAAGGTAAGATTATAAAAAAAAACTTTGTAAAACTTTACATTATTCCATATTTATATTTCAAAAATACAATAACTTGTAATAAGATATTCAAAATCTAGATAATACAATATTTATTTCTTACTATGAAAAAAGAAAAAAAGAAGACAGAAGAAACTATATATGTAAGCGATTTTATAATAGTTAGCATGATTTAAGTAAGTACCTTTACATTTATTTGTTGTTTTATCCAATATTGCCTTCGTGGAAGTTATAGTTCCATACCTATAAATAATTTCAGCAATTATATAGCAATTATATTATATGAATAATTAAATCTTTTTCATCTATTAGTAAAATATCATTTACGTACTGAGAACACATATTAACAAGGTCTTTATCTGTTGTATTTTGGTTGAGGCCACGTATATATAAATTTGTTTTTGATAACTGTTCCGCCTGCTGCCCTTGCATAGCATTATTGCTCATACTCGTGCTCATTGCACCGCTTTGACTGCCAGTGGCACTGCTAGAACTACTGGTAGTATTGGCTGGTGACGAGGCTGTAGGTACCCGTTGTCCACCATACTAAGTAAATAAAATAAATTTGGAATTATTAAGGTTACATCTTCATGTTTTATTCTTTATTATCTACCAAATGATCAAAGGAGCTATGAGTAAAATAAGCTAGGAAGGAAAGAAATAGGTGTTAGAAAGAACATAGTCCAGTTTCTACTGAAATTTGCTCCACTTTGGAGTTTTAATTTAATTTTATCAAATATACTTTATAATATTGATATCAAAAAATATATTAACCATACATATAAAGCCAGGAACGATATTTAGTGATGGAGGAATGGCGTGATGTTATTCAGCAATTCAGTAAGTTACAAGAAGGAGATTATCTCTCTACGGTCATCATCGACTAGTAGAAATTTAACACTACGGAATTTACTAAATTATAGAGAACACGCCTTTCTTTGATTCTTTGATTCTTTGATTCTTTGATTTCGTCAAATATTCTTCATAATCATCCACTACAATATACTTTGCATTTCGTTAAAACAATTAAACCACTTATTATTATAGAGTCAAAATAATTGGCATACGTCGTCGAAATGTATGATGTGGATATAATGAAAAATGGATATAAAAATAACAAAATCAAATATGTAAAAATAAGCTATTCGCGTATGTATTAACGTGAAAGCGTGGGCGAAGAACTAGAAGAAGCATGGATCCGGCGAACGAGTCTCGCGAAAAGGAGTACGATCGCAATATATTTTCTTTAGCGGTATTTTGCGTAGAATGTACGTACGTCTTTGTGAAATTTGTTTCGCTTGCAGTTTGACGACACTTGCCGGAGTGACCGTGACCCCGCGTCAGCGCTGCACCGTGTCTGATTAAAATAAGGAGGAAAGAGTAACCGGCGGCAACAGCAACAAATGAATCATTTATAGATATTGAATTGTATAGAAACGATTACAATTGAGAGATACACTGTTGAGTAGCGCGATTCGCGAAACAGAAAGGAAAGAGGGATCCATTAGGCAGTAGGTAGATTGTCCGACATTCGTACCGAGGCGTGCACGTCGAAGGCGGTACGCAATAGGCTGACTGGCTCGCGCATCTCGAGTGTACGAGTCGATAAATTAGTAGCAAGAAGAACGGCACATCGAGAAGTAGTAAAAACGTACGGCAATTGAGAGAGAGCGTAGAGAGAGAGTTGAGTGCAAAAGCGGTAGTAGGAAGAAGAAGAAAAAGAGAGAGAAGGAGAGCAATAAGAAAATCGTGCATCGTGGGATGGAAAGCAATGAGATGAATAAGGAGGAAAAAGAAGAGGAAGAAGAAGAAGTAGAGAAGAAGACAGTCCGCCATGGGAGTGTACTCACCGAGACGTGCTGAGCGTAGGGGGCGGTGGCGTAAGGGTTGGCAGAGGGCGGTAACGGTTGCGCACCGACCGGTACCTGTGCCGCTGCGGCAGCCGCCGCGGCGGCACTCGGATAGCGGGTGTAAGGTGGATAGGCGGCCGCTGCTGCCACCGCAGCCGCGGCGGCGTGCGACGGCGCCGCGCCCCAAGCTGCTGCGGCGGCGCCGCTCGCTCGGTACTGCACCGGATTCCCTCCTCGTGGTCCACCGCCACCGCCACCACCGCCGCCACCACCACCTCCACCGCCGCCCCCGGCCGCTCCTCCCGTCGCGTTGCCCTTCAATCCGCCGCCGGCGCCGGCGCCAGCGCCGCCCCCGTGGCCACCTCCACCGCCGCCACTACTAGCCGTAGTACCGCCGCCTCCGCCACCGACTCCGCCACCGCCGCCGCCGCTTGTAGGACCCACGCCCACGCCTCCGGCGTTGGCGCCTCCACCGCCTCCACCGGCGTTACCGTTGTTAGCGCCGACGTATGTTGGTCGTGGACCGTTCGTCCCCTGAAAAATGACCAAGCGAAATACCACCACAAGATCAAATACACTATCTATTCCCTTTCCTCTCCTATTTCTATGACATACCAAACAAATCACCTCCTTCCGATCTTCCCTTCCCTTCCTTTCGCAACGTCTAACCTATTATTACCTGATAATGTTCGGCTAATCTCATCTAATGTTACCTTTCCTCACGACGATTGAACGACCGTTACATTTTCCCCGAGATCGTTTCATCCGTTTCTCCATATTTTTTGATACGATCGAGTTAATTCGATGATCGTTGAATTTTTTTGCCACACGCTGTTTTATAACAAACCTTTAGTATAGACGACTCTTGTCGTAGTATCTTATAATCGGCAAGGCTATATGTTCGATCGATGAAAACTCTAACTTGTATACAATTTATATATATAAGCAACATATTCTCCACGTTTATCTAAAGAGAGCTATTCTTCTAACTTATTTCCGTGCAGAGATCAACCATGTATTCTTTTCTAGTTAGAGAATTAATCTAATTTTATCGTACCAATGAGCGTGATGCTTCGATACTTCATCTTCGCTATAGTTCTCTCCAGTATTAACACTGAATCGAGTGTCTTAGATTATAATCTTCGAAAGACGTGCAGATATGCTTCTATAATACTTATCGTATGATGTAAAGTTAAAGAAACGCTGGCATAGACGATGATTTACTGGCAGATATCGGAGGTTCAATTGAACGGCATGCAGACAACGTATCAGCTAGTGGACAACCATGAAATAGAGAACACGACGTGTGAAATGAGTATCGTGATATACCGACCGGATGTTGCTTCCTGCTTACCACGTCTGCACGTAGTCGTGTTACACTCTTCTTTTTTCACCCTTCGCTCTGTTTCTATATTTTTTAATTTTTATTTTTTCAAACATTTTCTATATTTATCATCATTCTCTTGGAATCTGAGTTCGAAACTTTATGCCAAATGATTTCAAAGTCACATTCTAAGTCAACGCGCTCTTCTCATGTTATCTAATTAAAAAGATTTAATTTACTTTTGTATCCAACGCCTATGATTTTATATTTGCAATACTGTAATTCGTTGTATTAGATTTACATGGAATATACGCACACGCACACACCTGATATTATTAATGTAAGCTTCTCCCACGAAATTCCTCACGTATATAACACATGCACACTTACGCTCTAGAAATATCTTGGACGACACCATTACTTTAAACGCGAGGCTTTACTCTACCAAGGTGGATCGCATAAATGTATGCAATACATGTATGTCTAATATATATAAATAATGTGCGACTCGAGACATTAAAAAATTTCATCATGTTTTGATTCCGATAGTAATGGTACTGGACTGACCTGTGTATTTAGATTTCTATATATTTACATCTTTCATTTCTTAAATGCAGTAACTTGATTCTAGGACTACGCGTAAATTACAGAAAAAGATTGCATGAAATCGATACAGATACAACATGAATGTTTTATCGCGTTAAATAAAGAGAAATAATAATAATAATAATAATAATAATAATAATAATAATAATAATAATAATAATAATAATAATAATAATAATAGTAAAAAATTAGCAAACAAAATAAAAGCATCTGTTTATTTACAGCATTCCTCATTGTGTCTCTAAAATATATATGCAGATTATGTTCGTATCTTACTTTCGAACACATAAATGGCATCTTAACTTACTTCCAACAAGGAAGCGCAAATCTTTCGGACGTCGATCGCCTATATATCATACACTTACCTAAAACAGAAAAGCAAATCGGTAGATGTAATAATGATTTTACGGTGATACATAAAATAAAATTTTGCGTCTAATTACAGGGAATAATTATCATTTAGAAGAGGAGACATGTTGCAAAACGAAAAAATATACACACGACGATATATATATATGTCGTCATCACTTTCATGTTGTGATGCGATGAAAAGCGTAAGTTAATTATCCCTTGATCACATGCCATTAGAAATAATTAAACCACGTTTGACATTAACACCCTTAGGTACGAAAAACGACAAGTACTTAAAGGATAATTGAGTTTTAACGATGGAGGCACAAAATCATATTCGCAATTGTATATATCGCGTTTACTAAAGTATACAAGTATATCTATAATTTGAAGTCAATGATCGATTAAAAGATGATAATCAATGTTGTTTATAGATTATTCGTCATAGTTGTAGATCGTTCTAATTATCAATTCAATCGTGATAATATACTTGAAATAGTTACAAGAAAGTTCAGTTTGTATTGGTAAGAAGTAAAAAAATAAATAATGGACTTTTCTTTCTTCTAGCAAAGACCTTATGGAGTAACTATACTGAACACGAATTATGACGATTTAATAACGAGATATCGTTGAAAAAGAGAGGTTAAAATCATTGTGAAAGCTGTACGTAGACGCGATAAGTTAAAACGTATTATGTAAAAGTAAAATAATTCGGAATACATTGAATAATATATAAAATATAAATATTGCGTCGATTACGGATTGAAAATTCGAACGATTTTTCGCAATAACATTCGTTTACTTAGCCGATAAGTAAGGATTATTAAACAGCTTGAATCGAGTTCTATCGTCGAAACCGGTAGCGCTGCTCTGATACATTGTTATATGATCGCAAGTTCGTTGACTTTAAGTCAGACTTGATCAACCGTGGCCTCCTCCCTCCACCTCCACTACCACCATCACCATCACTGCCACCACCTCCTCCTATTCACGTACCGTTCATTCCCCTCCGCCCGCGTTTAGATCACAACGCCCTCCTTTCCTCACCTCCTTCCATTGCCACCCAACCACCATCGTGACCACCACCGCCGCCGCCATTCTTGTCTTTTATCGCCAAGTGTCAAGAATACGTATTATAATTTTTCAATTCATCAAAATTATTTTTTCTTCTTTCTTTTTATATATCATCAACTTTGAAAGTTTTCGACCGATCAATCCATCCATAGATTTCGGTAAAAGTTTTCCCAAGTTAATTCGTTCGTTAAGAGATACTTAACAAGTAATAATCTTATATTTTAAATACGATCAACTGCTTTCTACTTTTCGATTCTTTAAACCACAGTCACTTTTCCACCGATATAGCGCTTTCTCTTCGAATCGTGAAATTGTAGATATGTATATATCCATCTATGTTCTTTTAATGGGAGTTCTCGTTCGACGTTACGATCAATAATATTAATTGACTTTCAAAGAGTCTCTTTTAGAACGACGACAACAATGACGACGACGACATCGATGATTTCTTCGTGGTAATAAGGAACATACATCTCACTTTTTTTTTTCAAATCTAATTGTATATCGCATCATTTTCCACAGTTCACGTAAAAGAGAAAATAAAAGATCGATAGAACAGAGAGCGTGTTCGTACGTCACACGATGTAACGAAGGTAAATGGCACGCGAGGGACCTTGACGAGTACACATCTAGGCCATAGACCTTGAACTTCGTGTCTAGATCGCGCTTCGGACGTACGATTCAGCCGCCAAATCGGGAACTCGCTCGTGTTACAAGACATATCAGCCATAATGAAAGAAACAAATAGGATATCTATCGTTGTTTCGGCAAAAGGGTTTTTCAAAGCACAATGTCAAAAATCTAATTGAAAACATTTTGATACCAATGATAATTCTATGATCTGATTGACAACATTTTTCATTCAATATAAATAATTCAGAGAATAAGGTTGTCATAAATATTCGAAAATTATTTATGTATGCTGTGTTTTCTTTGGTTCAAGTCAAAAATTGATCGAAGCTCGAAAAAGTCCTTAGTTACCAGCTGGAAGGCCGATTTTAAAAACAAAAATCGCGACTACCAGGAAAAGACGATCGATCGCGAAGAAGTTCGACGGAAATGAAGGAACGTGGTGAGAGCGAGGTTCAGACGACCTTGACTTCAGTGACGTCACCGGATACCGTTGTGGATAGCGCCTTGCGAACTTTGTGAATGGCATCCGGGTGTGCGTGCGAGCACGCGTTCTTTCGCGCGTGGGTGCGTTCACATGCAAGCTTTACATGCACGCGTGTGTACACGTCTTAATGCTGTGTCGGAAGTGCTCAGGTATGAAACAGTAATAAAGATTGATACATGTATTTAAATAGGACTCATATTCCGACCGAAAACGCATACATATTTCTCATTCTCATTGTCAGTCGATCCTAACTTCTGCCATTGCATGTATTTTTGTATTTTATATAAAATACATTTGTTTTGAAAAATATTACATTCCAAATTCTATCAATCTTTCTAATTCAACACGTGTTCTCAGAGCTATACTTATGAGATCGTTTAAATCGCCTTAATGATCAATAAGAAATTCTAAGTTTCGCAATATACATTCGTATTATCATACTCTTTTTATAATATTTTTACTTGTGCGTTCTTTCTATGGCGCCCACATATCCATGACATTAATGATCACCGCGCATGCGCGAAGAAAAAACTCATCATATTCTGAAATACGTAATATCCATGGCAACGAGGATTAAAGACAGGTTTGTGCCCTTATATTTTCATTAGCCGATATGGATTCCTTATCGAACTTCTAAAAAGAAGCTAATATAAAAATAGCAAAAGTAACAACATTTCGATATACGTACGAATGAGTATGTATTATTGTAAATAAATCGCAAAAATACATAAGTGTCACCACCGTTCATATTTTTATAATCATGCCAATATTGCTTTCACTCATACTTCCTTTCTATATGTTACGAATTTAATCGAAATTTAATGAATTTTATAGAAATAAAAATTGTGTTCGTATATTGAAAATCTTTATGAGGAAATTCATGGCGTATAACGAGTTAGTAACAAAAGGTTCGCAACACATGATGAGATGATTGAACGAGGAAAAGTGATATCGAATTAAAAGTTTTTTTATTCGTTAGCTTGGTAAGATTATTTCGCGGAATGTGGTAGCGTTGGGCGTGGGTGTAAAATAGAACATGGAATGCAAAAACACTTCGGGGTATCGTATTAATGCCGAACAAAGAGCAACGTAAATCGTCCGTGACTCATTTCCGAGAGTGCACGCACTTCAAGGCCGATGAACGACAACAGACTTTTTGTTCTTTTTTTTTCTTTTGCCATCGCTTTGTACAAAATCAACAAAAAGAATTCCAAGACTTTCTACTATTTCGTAACAATCATAAATGAAAGACGTATTTTTTAAAAACAAGAAAGAGGAAAAAAAAAGGCGAAAGAAAAACAATTGTAAATAGAAATAAGAATATTTTTTAATCAATTCCAAGATGGATCAAATTACACGCTAAATTAAGTAAATGAACATATATTTTGTTAACCTTATTCAACCCGATCATTGTTTTCACAAATGTAAATTAATTCATAAATTACTGTCATAAAAAGAAAAGAAAGAAAAAAAAATAAAGAGAAAGAAAGAAAAAAAAAGAAACACGAAAAAAATGTGAAATGTGTGCATTATCTCGGGGCATTGTTTCGCGCGATTAAAAAAAAACAACGCCACCTACGATTTAATTTAGCAATTACATTCACATATAAGAATCCTTTAATATCGGAAGATTAGATACAAAAGCCAAATAAATGCTACTTCAATGCATATGCATTTATATTAATCCGAATACTATTGAAACTAATCTTAACGTGTATTTGATTTAGTAATTGCATATTTGAGAAATTTAAAGATTCAAAGTGCAACAAAAAAAGGTAATCATTTTTGATCGCCCTTGAAAATGATATCGTCTTGAGTCAATCGAATGCGATCGTTATATCTAAATATTCTGTTTTATTAGTCATTCTGAGAAAATCAATGACATTGATGATAATTCTGCGAAAATCGATGAAATCGATAGTATTATGTAAACTTGCAGTTTTTTCATGAGCGTAATTATTTAATTTTGTATTTATTTATTCTAGAAGATTTAGCGAGTGAATGAAAACGAATGAGTTATATTTAAGAATAAAGCTCATTGATAGGAAAAAATGAGATCAAAGATCGTAGATCATATTACAATAAAAATACATCGATAAGAAGTTGAGATTCTCTTGTCAGGCCTCACTAAAAATACTATCTCCGATTTGAGTGAGTCAACGACAAGAATAATATTGTCGAATACATTAAACATCTCCATTTAAATAGACTCGTTAATGAGAGGCGTGATACAATTTTAACATATGGAACATTTTTCGAGATCGCACGTTCTATTATTATCTATTTATTGTACTATTCATCGTAAAATTCTTAATAGAGTTTGAAAATACTGGAATGATGGTTTAAATTTAAATATACGAATACATTTATAAATTACCCTCGATCAAGTCGCACAACACGAACTTGGAGTCCGAGTGATGACAAACGAACAGAATTTCCGGCGCGTTTCTTTGGCCGTGTTCTGCTCGTATCTCATTCGTAGAAAATTCGTTCGATTTAACATCAAACACAAAGTCCACGCCGTCGCGAAAACGATTCCGATAACTAATTAACAATTATATGTTAAAGCTAAAACTTGACCTCGCCTCAAGGAGTCGAACGCGTGGCACGGATCACTAACACATAGAGTGGAAAAGCATCTTCGGATGCATCTGAAATCCGTCCAATTGGAACGATCCTCAGAGACGACACTGACGTACCAACGGGAGGAGTCTCCCCGTGACTGTATTAAAAAGAATTCATAAATTCATTTCTAACTTTTCATCGATCAAATAAATATTTTTAATTCTGCGATGATTTGCACAAGCCGAATCAATTCGATGTCACTTGAAAATTATCAAAGACGGCACTGAAAGTCGTCAGCTCGAATTTCAAACGAAACCAATCACATTCTACGAATCACCATAGAAAGAAGGAGAAGAGACACGCCGCAGAGAGAAAGACTCGCGAGGAGTGAAGCGAAAAGAAAGGTTAGGTTTGCACGGAAGTAGTAACATAGATAGGGAGGAGTGGGAGATAGGGAGAACGAGAGAGCTTGGGTGGGGCAACGGACGCCCCGCGGCAAACTGTCAAACTACGCTGGTTCCATGGCCGCCGGCCGCCCCCATGGTAAAACTGCGTATTCCACGGAGAACCACTCGTGCTTGTTCCGGGTGTTCGTTTCCTAGCAGCAACGACGGACGACGACACGCACGGCATCGGAGCGCGCGCGCAACATATATATATATATATATATATATATATATTGTGTGTATGTACAAGCGGGCATTCATCCGTCTGTGCATGTGCATGCGCGTACGCTCACGATGACACGCGGCGGCGCACGCCTTGGAGCGACCGGCAACGCAACGAAATGCTACCAATGACGATGACCACCACGGATCACGTCGTGTTCGATCAAAGCGCAACTTCTTTCTAGACGGGAATAAGTAGAAAGCGGGAGTAGATAAAAGCGCGCGTGAGAGAGAAGGAGGCGAGATAGAATAACAAAGTATAGTAAAAGAAAAGAAAGAGAGAGAGAGGAGGAAGAGCAAATGATACTCACCATCATCTTGTAGTTGAGTTTTCTCGGCGCGGCAACGTTTTCCATTCTGACGGACATGCTAGCGGTATGTAGTTTCTAGCAGTTTGGAACAATGATGCTCTGGTAACAGTTGTAGTTGTAACTGTAGCTATGTGTAGTACTAATACTAGTAGTAGTAGTAGTAGTAGTAGTAGTAAATAGCAGTAATAGTTTTAATGGTGAAGGTGGCGATGGTGTACCACTACTAGCTATCGCTGTGAGTGCGTGCACTTCGTCTTGGCAAATCGGTCGCCAACGAGTCTCGTTGCTCTTCCACCCTTTCCCCTCCCTGACAGCAACAGCAGGAAACAGTTTCTTAGGCGCACCTTCCTCGGCTTCGGTGCTTTCTACGTACACGGAAAAGATGCGGCTGCTTCACGTGCCCGCTCACCTGCACACCCTTCGATACCACGCGCGCCACGACGCGGCCGAGAGCACCGTCGCACGGCTCGGCGGAATGTCGTATATCTCGTGTCGTACTCCCCCTGATCGCACGGCCGATAATAAGAAGAGGGGGATACAGTCGAGCTAGTGAGAGGGGGAGGCAGCACTGCCAGAGATGGAGGAGAAGATGGAGGAGGTGAAGGACGGTAATGGACGAGACGCGACGAGACAAGACGCGCGGTGGCTCGCCACCGGCTGGATGGATGGCTATCGTCTGGAGAGACGAAATCGGGGATGGTATAGGGTAAAGAAGGAAGATGAGACGTCAGTGGTACGGCGCGTATGGTTACGGGGATCACAATAGAGCCTTTAACGCACCGACGAAACCGAACGCGACGAGCGAGAACGATAAATCACTTTGCACCGTGGTGAGGAGTGGGAGAGGACGGTGGAAAGGGCGATGGCAGTACGAACAGAGGGACGGAGGGGTGAGACCAAGGAAGAAAGAGAGAGAAAGAGAGAGAGAACGAGAGAGATTGGACGGTGCAAAGGGGACGAGTCGCGCGCGCGAGCGTCAGCGCGCTCTGTCTGCTACTATCGTACGATGCTGTAAGAATGTGTGTGTATATAGATATACGTACTCGATACGCGACTTATGTATTCGAGAAAGCATACGCGCGCAAGATGCGCGAGATGCGAAGAATGAGATATGTAAAGACCGAAAGAATGATAGATGAGGGAGAAATACAAAGGAAAAAAAGGGTAGAGAAAACCGAGCCGATGGCGATGCAAACGGATGACGAGCGTCAAGAGGGTGTGTCGATCGTACACTCTTCACACTACTACTACTAAACTACTATTAAACTTCTTTTACACTTTACTTCACGTCGTTGTTTAACACACGCACAATACCGGCGAGAGCCTAGGCCAGCCGCGTTGAGCGGACACGAAGTGAGTATGTGTAATTGTACGCGCGTGTACGAGAAAGAGACACACACACACACACACACACAGAGAGAGAGAGAGAGAGAGAGAGAGAGAGAGAGAGAGAGAGAGAGAGAACGCAAGAAAGATAGGTAGTGTGAGAGAAAGAGAAAGAAGAAAGATATCGAACGAGTTGTAAGGGGGAGAGAGGAGAGAGAGCAAAAGTACGCGAGATTATCCGCCTACTTGGCCGTTGATTTCAGCCTTAGCGACGGCTAGTGTGTCTTCGTAATACAATCGTTCTTCTCCGCTTTTTAATTGTCCCGACGACTATTTTTTTCGTCGTCTCGTATACACCAACCTTCCTCGTCAATCTTTCCGTTGTGGTCCGCGGCGGCGCCTTTGTGACCGTCTTCGTTGTTAGGCGTCGCAATATCACCTCGATTCCATATACTGTATTACCTTCTTACTCGTCCTCCGTTATATGCTAGCACCACTTTGCTTTCCGTCTCTTACGCCGAACGATAGCACTTTTTTTATCCTTTACGTACTTTCCCTTGTCCGTCACGTCCGTGCGTTCTTTCGCCACTCGCGGATTCCGTTTCCTCTCTTTTCTGTTCTTCAATTCTCCCCCCTTATTCTTTACGAATTTCGGGAATAGCACTATTAATAACGGCACGATAGAAAAATATATAGCTTATTTCCCCTCTAAATAAAATAAATTACAATGTTTAATCGTTACTTTTCGTTAGGAAACATTTAAACTGTGTTGTCTTGTAGGTAGAGTCTAAGCTACTGCCCGGCGAGATTCGCCCATCTTGTCCGAAACTGAAAGGAGCCGTCGCTTGGCGGCGCTGTTCGTATTACCACCGGTCGTGGGGTTCCAGCGGCCGCACCTGTCTGCATGGCCGCCACTCATCAAACATGGAAAGTCATAAACTTGTTAAAGCACGACAGAGAGAGAACTTTGTTCTATTCTATCTCTTTAACGAAGATAGAGAATTCGTTTGCTAACAGAATGGAAGGGATCTTCTGTATCTCGCAAATGAATTTTAGTTTGTCGCAGTTGGCGAACGTGTAGAGCCGAGCGTTACCGAAGATGGTCGTATGGTGACGAACCTTAACGAGCCGACGGCCGATGAGACGACGACGGTCTAAGGAGGGGACGCTCGGAATGAACGAGGGAAAAGGAGAGAACGAGAAAAGGGGGGAAGGAGATGGAACGAAGGACGACGCACGATGATGAAGGGAATGGAAAGGGCATAGGGGGAGAGAAGAGAGAGAGAAAGGAAGAGGGAGAAAGAGAGAGAGAGAGAGAAAGAAAGAGGGAGAGAGAGAGAGAGAGAGAAAGAAAGAGGGAGGGAGAGAGAGAGAGAGAGAAAGAAAGAGGGAGGGAGAGAGAGAGAGAGAAAGAAAGAGGGAGGGAGAGAGAGAGAGAGAGAGAGAGTAAGCAAGCAGCAGACGCGGGTGGGTACGCTCACCCCGGCGCGGACGTCCCTTCGCTATGCGGCAACGTGTGCGTTGTACACGATTCTACGTGAAAAATGTGTACCTGAGAGAGGAGTCCTTCGAGAGGAATATCGACTCCCCTGCAACGCGATGTGTTGCGGTTGTCATGTCGGCGGAAAGCTCTGCGTCCAGGGAAATCCTGCTTCGTTTACGCGCCAAATCAAAAGAGAAAAAGAGAGAAATTTAATGTGGGAGATACAAAAGGGGGAAGGAAAAGATGAAAGTAGAGGGAGAGAACAAGAAAAGGAGGAGAGACAGATAGGAGGGTTCTCCTTTCGTAGGGCAAGATCGATTATCCCACGGCCCTGTGGTCGTCGCTCGAAGAACTTTGGTCGCGCCTTCTCTTACGAGAAAGTCGCGTTATCGATCGTGGAACGACCTCGCTCACTTATACTCCCTCTCGAGGTCAGGAGAGATTTTTTTGCCCTCTCTTCTACCTTCCCTCCGAAATCCCTTCGTGGTCGTTGACTTTTCGTTTCGATGTTACACGAAGCGAAATCGATTTTCCCTGCAGTTATTTCGAAGCGACCTAATGTCTACACAACTAAAATGAATTTCTCATCGCGTTGCTAAACTTTTGCGTATTCTCTCGTGTATATATATATATATATATATATATATATATATATATATATCGTTTTCGCCATTGTATCAGTAAAAATTAAAGGCCGCCGATTGGTCGATCCAGTGTCGCGAAGCACTGCAGTTGGAAGATGCGACGCATATTTGTGATCGGCTTGAGATTCCTCACTGAATGGCGTAGAATCCGGTGGAACCGAATATTTTTCTTCTCTTCCACTTTATTTCTTGCGCTTTTCTTCTCTCACTCGAGATACTTTTGATGGCCAACCTGTTCTTTTTTCTTAATATTTTTTAATTAATTTTTTTCTTTTTATTTTTTTCTATATGTGCATCTCGACAACACGATTGTCTCATCTCCTTAGACATGTTTGATTCCTGTGATTGGTCGAATATAACAGAGGTCCTCAAACTTCTTCATCGGTTTGTTGGTCGTTTCGACGAGTGTAGAATCTTATCGATCGGCTACCTCGTTTAGTTTCCTTCATCCTCTTACTGGCGATTCTTAAATTTTGGGATTCAAAAAATTTCAATCTTAAAACTGATGAAAGATACATGCCATGTTAACAATTGCGATTATAAGTATATTTGAGAAAACCCTAGCGAACCACACTTTGAGAACCGTCGCGTTTACGACCGTTTCGAAAATGTTAATAGGTCGTTGACGTAACCAGAAGCAGACCTTTCTCGTGCCTTGTTCCTCGATGCCAGACTCCAACATTTCATTGTAAATTTTATTGCATGAACATTATTTATTCTTTTAACTGATATAGAAAAAATTGTTTAAATTCTTTTCAATTTAAACAATACGTTATAATTTTCTTATAAATCGTGCTCGATGCTCACGTAGGAAACATATGTTTGTAAAATAATATGAACGCATGCGCGATTATGCGAAGAATTATTTGCATAGTATTCAGTCTCTCATTTTTTTTTTTTTATACGAATTACGAAGTTCAAATTTTGGGGTTATTATCTAGAACAAATTACTGTTAAATACAAGAGGTCGGCTACGTTTACTTATCTTCTTAACGTCTTTCTAACATATCTCCAAATAAACAAATATGTATATAAAAATGTTAATTACATTTAATCATGAGATAAGCAATAAAGTAATAAAATAAATTTGGAAAATAGCAGATTATCCTAAATATCTCCATTAGTACCTTATCTAGTCTTCTGATATCTTCGTCTTAACGATTATTTGCATTGTTCTTTACTTTCTCTCTCTCTCTCTCTCTCTCTCTCTCTCTCTCTCTCTCTCTCTCTCTCTTTCTTTTAGTATCAGATGTACTTTTAATATCGGACAAAGGCTAAGGAACAATATGGCTCGTTAAATATTTTGATACTTCGAAGATACAATGCGATGACGCATACAAATGAGTCGTCTACTCTAATACGATAAATCTTGATATGGCAAGCGAACTCAGTGCAATCCGATAGAAAGGAAAACTTATTGAAATGAAAAGTTTTCATCTGGAGAGATTTAGGTACATACCATAATTTAGAAAATGTACCGCAATTTAGAAAATGTACTGTAATTTAGTAAATGTACCGTAATTTAGAAAATGTATCGTAATTTAGAAAATATTATATATCGTTAACGTTTATGAATCTATTAACAATAGGTCTATCTGTTTTATCTACCGTGTTTTTTTAGTTTAATTCTTAAGTCCGTATCCTCCTCTTACCTGAGAATCGTATATCATAAACCACGATAGAAGCTCAAACCAGGTAAGAAAGCAAAAAGTTTTTGCTTTTAAATGATGTCTTTCCTCGTGTTTCTCACTCTTCGTTTCTCTCTCATTCACTACGAATCCATGGACAAGGTCAAGAGTTGCAGATTTCCATTCCTTGACATCCTTTATAATCTTCTACGAGTCACCATAGTTGGCCTGTCTCTTTATCTTCTCTACCTCTTTTTCTTGTAACTATAATTCATTCCCTTCAAATTCAAATTAAGAATAACCTAACCATCGGAGATTACCGGTAAGTCCTTTTAACTGTATACTATTTAATTGTTCTGTCTAACTATATAACTTTTATTTCTGTAGAGTAGTCAGTGCAACGAAGGAAATATTTTAGAAATATGAACTATGTTAAAAATTTATCTTCCTTAACAGTGGTGAAGACAATTTTACAATTGAATCTTCCTAAACGATGATTTCCTATATATTCATCGACTCTATGCTATATGTATGCAAGTAGTACGTTTATATATCAATCTAAAGATAACGCAATGGTACGCAGATTGATCGTTGGACAAATTGCCTACGAGCAGGCACTTCAGTCGATAACTGCCGATAGCAGGAGAATGGAATTGGATCGAACTCCGCGAATACGAAGTAATCCTGTTCTCGACAAGAAAGGCCGTGGTACATCGATTCTCCTCCAACGTCGTCCCCAGAAATCCAATGAGTACGCCAAAATTCCCTAGGGGCAGTCGGGTCAACAGGAAGTCAAGGCCACACGGTCAGTTGCACCGTGGTTCGCCGTCGATATAAATAGATGCAGGCGACTGGTATCTATGTATCTATCTGCACGCATACCATACTATCCACAGCGAATAAACATGGATAAAGTTTCGTCCAATGATGCCAAGAAAGCATCGTCGTATTTTTACAACAAAGTTTCTTGGGAAATGCAAGTGAATCGAACTTGTGCTTATCGATGCATTTCACGATATTTGTATTTATCGACTCATCTCTCTGTAATGTTATATATTAACCTTAAAATTACATATATCGGTTCATTCATTAGATATGAAAAATGATTCATACAGAATTATTTGGAAATAGACTTATTCCACAAATTTATATATATATATATATATATATATATATATATATAATTTATTGATTTAAATCATTTTGAATATATCTTTCTAACCATTCAATTGAATTTATCTATGAGAACCGATGATTTACTTATTCGGAAAAAGGTAAAGTGCGGCAAAGAATATTTAGAGAGAAATGCGTTTTACAAGAAAAGAAGAACACTTATTGATCCGATAGACCCTGAATGCACCGTTATGGCATCCGCTACGGAAACCGTAATCGCGTCTCTTATTTTTTGTACGATACCGCGCACGATATAGAATGTTACAGATCTAAGCAAAAATCATTGCTATATGTAGATACATAAAAAATCATATAACTCTCATCAATAATAAACATAGAATATCCTATTCTATTTTATCCTATTCAATTGTCTCTTTATATCATGATCGATAAAGATCGATTTTCTAGCTTTCACCGTCTAAATTATAAAATTCATTGGTTAAAACTGTCTATTAGCATAGATATTTGAATGATTCCAATTTAACTTCCTTTTAGAATGAAAAGATGAAAGCTCAAGTTTCCAAGACGTTATAGCCTGGGCTTGCAAAAATAGAAGATAGAGGGTCGTTACCATGGCGATCGAATAAGATGCATTTACAATAATTCCAATGTACAAGATGGGAACGGGTCGATGCAGGTTGCTTCGTCCTGCTACGGTCAGTGTAAAATACATTGCGAGAGAAGAATGAGATAAAAAGAAAGAGAAAACGTGAGAGAGAGAAAGAGTAAGGGCAAGGTACGACCTTTTCGAACGCGTTGGGGGCGATTCGTTCAGTAGAAGCAGAGAAACGAAAACTGGGGGTAGATAGGTAGATAGATAGATAGTAGTCGAAGCTGTCGAAGAAGGAAAGAGAGTGGAGGGTGGAGAAGATAGAAGGGAGAGAAAGGAAGGAGATAGGATAAGGGTAAATCGACGGGTGTAGTCGTGCCTTTTGGGGCAGTGGCCCTTGCCGCGATGATTCCGAGGGTGAGAAGGGGCAGACGAGGACCTACGCGTTATTGAACGGGCATTTCCCACAAAGCGCAGACGAGGGCAACCACCCCGTAGCGTCGCGGTGCAGAGTCCTCTCCCTACTCCCTACTCTTCACCCCACTTTCCGGCAACCCTCGTTTTCCTCGCGTTTCACCCTCCTTCCTCATCTTCCGTTCTCGCTTATGTCTACGACGCGTCTCCTCTGTCCCTCTGTTTCCTCCCTTCTACCCTTCCCTCTCTCCTCCCTCTCCTTCTCTCTCTTCCCAACAGCTTACGCACGCATGCACGCGCGCACATACGCATGCACGTACACGTCCAGTTTCACGACAAGCTTTATTTCGTACTACTTCGAACGAAAATCCTTTCCCTTTTCGAAGCTTTCGAGGGTCGTACTAACGGTACCTCTATCATGGATATATCCCCATGTCCAAGGGAAAATGAAAATTCACGTACTTCTTTCTTTCTTTCCTTCATTCTTTCGTAAATTTCGGTCCTTCTTCGTCTGAAAAAACAAAAACTTAGTGTCCTTTTAGTAAGATAAAGCTTTACAGATAGAGATGTTAAAAAATTTGGTTTATCTTATTTTATTTATTCTCTGCAAATATATTTCATTTTGAAGGACGTACGTTATTTCTTTAAAAATTTTGGAAGATGTAAATACATTTCTTTATCCTGAAAGACCAAAAATGATGTGTGTATATAAAAATTATTCTAAAATTATGCGAAAAGATATGTTAATATCTCTATATTTATGGCTACATTTATCATTGTTTTTGATTATTGCATCGTCGTTGTCGTGATTTTATCACTATTTGTGACTATATCGACCATTGTATTTCCGATGTGCTATTATTCTCTTTCTTATCGTTTATTAGTTATCAATTATATAATCATTAATACGTGATAATTTTGTGTCGGTTGACCGCTGTTTACGAAGTCATTGAGATACTAATAGACAAGAACTTCGATCATTGCATACGTTTTACTCCATAACTCAGAAAAGGCGTTTCACTTTGAAAACAATCACATATGAATGTTAGTTTGAAAATAATCAAATGATAGGACAAGGTCATCGATCTAACACATCGATAGCTTATCTCTTTTTGTCGGTAGTCAAATAGGACGTAGCAGTTGCCTTTTTACTATTGAAATATCAAATGAACGTTTATGTTACGCCCTCCAACGAATTATACTGAAAATAATCATACTGGTTATCGATAGTTCGTAACAAATACGTGACACATACATTTTGAAAACATAATACCTACAGATGGCGCTCGATCGTTTACCCATCCTTTTTTTTACTGGTCGGGTGTAAGACGCCATTTTATAATAAACCGAAAGAACGATAAATGCAATGTATTCCAGCTGTTGTTTGTAACGTGTTTTAGCCCGGAGAATTTAAACATATACATAGGAAAGAATACGTAATGGCGGAATATTTGGCATCTATATTTGGTACTGAAAAAGACAAGTAAGCTTTGTGATAACTCCCTAAGTTAGCACTCTGTACACACTATTAAACACTAATAGGTATATTTGGTTCTTTGTTTAGAGTAAATTGTTCATTTTATTTTAAAATCGGTGCTTGCCGTCACGGTGACAGGTGTTCACGAATTCACAACAAACCTACTTTCAGTCAGGTAAGTGATAAAATTTTCCATAGTTCATTTTTTCTTGTATAACTTATGTAATGAAAATGTTTTTTTTACAGACATGTTTATTGCAAAATCTTTATGTAAATCCCCAAAATTCTGCAAAAAGTGCAGATGGTTCTCATTGTACGTACATATTTAAAATTTAAATCATAAGAATATAATCTATTTAAAAACCTTGATTTTAATAAAGTTTTTTTAAATGCAATTGTAGTAGTGGCAAACGTATCAGATGAAGAAATGCAAGAACACTACGATAATTTTTTTGAAGATGTGTTTGTGGAATGTGAGGATAAATATGGTGAGATTGAAGAAATGAATGTTTGTGACAACCTTGGTGATCACTTAGTCGGTAATGTATACATCAAGTTCCGAAGAGAGGAAGATGCTGAAAGAGCTGTTAATGATTTAAATAATCGATGGTTCGGAGGAAGACCAGTTTATGCTGAACTCTCTCCTGTAACCGACTTTAGAGAAGCTTGCTGTCGTCAGTATGAAATGGGGTATGTATAGAATCTATTCTTTGAAACATAATGAAACGTCTGTAAAATAAATATTAATAAATTATTTCATCCGATTTTAGTGAATGCACACGTTCAGGATTTTGTAATTTTATGCACTTAAAACCTATTTCTCGAGAATTGCGACGCTATTTGTATAGTCGTAAAAAAGGTGGTAAAGGTCGATCTAGATCTCGATCAAGATCACGTGGCCGTGATCGAAAACGCAGATCTCGATCAAGGGACAGAAGATCGAGATCGAAGGATCGTCGAAAGGGAAGAGATGATAAAGGTAGAGACGGCCGATCTGGAAGATACTAATAACTTTGAAAACAAGAATATCTACAATCAAGAAGCGTAATGCGCTATAAAACAACTTGAATTTTGAAAAAAGAAAAAAATTAAACTCTCGTTTTTCTTTTTTTTTAACAATTGTAACTTTGTTACATCATGCAGTTACTTTCTATATATGTTCTTACTTCATAAATGTATTATTTAATAAATTTGTAAGACAATAGAAAAGAATACAATAAGAAAGTTGTAAAATTCAATGCATAGTTATTTTTTTGAAGATTAGGAAGATCAGTATTATTTCTTAAGACAAAAACTGGCTACTACTATTTAGGCGTTTTTGCCTAGATTTTTGCACTAATATTGAGTCTATGTATCAATAAAAATACGTCTATGTACACATAGTTAAAAATATACCGTTTAAATGAAAGATCGATGATTAATTAAATTTTAAATTATCCTTTTCAATCATTATCTTAGAAAAAATTTAGTACAACTTTTATATTCCAATGATCTTAAACAACTTTACGCGTAAGATACACATTGTCGAGCAAAGCCATGATACAAAATACACAAAAAGAATTAGTTATATATATACAAAAAAAAAAAAAAAAAAAAAAGAAAAAAAAAATCGGGCAAAGCACGCTAAAAATTTGGAAAGGCTTACAAAAACAAAAATTTTGTGACTAGAAGATTTATGAAGAGTAATTACTATTTGCAAGCACTTAAAAAAATAATTGCATTGCGTGATAGTGTGAAATATGGTGATATTACAAATAATTAAAAAAATTACACTACATTTCAACCTATTAAAATAAAACTTATTGATATTGGATGTATTATATAAAATACATTTATATATAAGTTCAATATGAGCCAATATTTTGAACTATATTAAATTCTTAAGCTTGTAGCAAATCATAATTTCTTAACACAAATTATAGATTATTCCTGTTAAGCGAATATATTTATAAAAATCATAGATATTTCTGTAAAGTACATTCATATTGTACCAAAGAAAGTGCTTTACAGCAAATATTAAATATAAATCTATAAATTATTAAGTTTCGTTGATAAAATTTTTCGCCATTAGAGTCACTATATACGCTGAATTATAAGTATGCATATAACCACCTGCATGTTGCTATATGTATAAAACTATGATATGCAATTTATTATGAATAATAGTGTAATGAAATGCACGCTATATAGCTATTAAATACAGTTAATATTAAAACTATCTATATCTATTGCTTTTATTTTGCGATCTGATAACACATAAAATACGATTATAAATATGATTTTATAGATGTACGCAGCGTACATCATCAAAAGCTTTTGAATATTCCGAAATGACTATTGCACGAATAAATTTTTGTCGATTAATTTGCGAGGCTGACAATACAATGCCTCCTTCTTTTTAATCAGTCAGACGCTATGAAAAACACTCGCGATTATTAGGCAATGCATTTTATACATTAATTTAGGATAATACCACTAGCATGATGTTGTCGATAACGACAATTATGGTAATGGCGTACAAGCTGCGTTGTACTAAAATGGTACAATTGAGTCTAACAGAAAAAATGTATTTTGTGGTTTATTCTCATTTGAATTTCTCCAAAATATACTGTATACAATATTTTACTTTAATTATAAATATGTACAGTCACACATTACGACGGCGCACTAGATTTTATTAAAAAGTCTGACTTTGCACAAAGCAATGTGCATCGTTTCACCTCGCATTGTCTTAAAAAGTACACTGTTTATCAATGAGTTTTTGGGAGCGCAATACTCTCGGTGTTTTCGTTATTTCATATCTAAGCACAGAGGTATTAATTATTTAATTAACTCGATCTCTTACCATAACTAATAGTTTTAACGACTGATTCCCTTTGTCGCTTGCTGCATCTTGAAAATATTTACACTGCTTATGTTAATAATTAATGGTTATGATATTCCATAATAGATTCACCAGAATACGAGATCAACATTCAAGGGGGCTAATCAGCATAGACAATAAATTGCTGGTTGTCCACATCCGCAACTTCGACTTGGACGAATTGAGGTTGTTGAAGTTGAATTTGTTGTACTTGTCTTCCAATGGCATTTCGCGATCTGCGATGTATATACGTGTACATGCGAAGTTGTATTATATATTCTAGGTAATCAAAATAAAAACGAAAACTTACTTAGCCTTGGCATGGGTCAATATGTGCGATTTAAGGTTCGTGGATTGTGCAAACTTTTTGCTACAACCATCAAATGGGCAAACATATGGTCTGTCACCTGTGTGGATTCTGACATGGGTTCGCAAATTAAAGTCAAGGCTAAATCTTTTGCCACACCCTTCGAATGTACATTGAAAAGGTTTTTCTCCTGTGTGCACTAATTGATGCCTCTTTAATTTTGAACTTTCAACAAAAGCCTTTCCACACTCTGCGCATACATGTACTCTAGGACCATGTGTGTGTAAGTGCTTACGCATAGCACTGTTATCTCGAAACATTTTTGTGCAGCCTTTGTGAGGACAAGCAATTGTACGTTCTACACCATCCATAACAGGTGGTTTGCGTACTTTCAATTTATGTCCTGGTCTGGCAAATTCAGCTAGCTGTTTAGGATCTGATAAATCGAGACCTGGCATTCCATCGGAAACAGAACTTCCAGAATGATTAAACTTTGTATTTGACTTGCCAGTCATATATTCAGTATAATCTGGATCAGGTTCTGGATTAGAGCCTTCATCTGTAACATTGGATAAATCAAAAATTACTAGAATTCTTTTTGTAATTATGATGCAATAGATTCTTCTTCTACAATGAACTTCTACAATGATTCTGTCTCTTGTAAGTCAATGAGTATATCGTATATGTACTTGTACGCTTCTTCTAAATATTTAAAAAAAAAAGTTTGTGCATACTTTATCAATTTACTTGGATAAAGATCGTCTTAACAGGTTATCAAAATATCTGTAAATAAGAAATGATATAAAAGGTATGTTTCATATGTGAGAAAATTCGTTTAAGTAATTTTTTTTTCGTATAACATTTTTTTCACAAAGGCTAAAGGAAATTCTAACCAAGTTAAAAGAAAAAAAGAAAAGGGAATGAGAGGGCAATTAATCGAGAAATACATGAAATTTTGAATACGGAAAAATGCGTTGAAAAAGTGGAAGGGGTGGAGAGCGGGTGCGGGGAAGAGCTCCATTACGCGTAGAACGACATTCCGACGCCATTTTACTCCTCAAGAGGTAAATTGAGCAAAAGAAGCCATTTTCAAAATATGGCTGCCCCCTGGCAGCATAATGGCGTTCCTTCGATCAAAACAAACAACGCAGACTGTCATCGGTGTGACTTCCATAAAACGAAGAAACGTGCAACCGAAAGAAGTTATTCTTTTTAGCGAAGCAAACCAAATTGAAGTATCGATTGGGTAGAACCTACCGGAAGTACGTTCCACTAGCGTACGTTGGGAATAGCCGTTAGAAACAAGCAGATAGTCGAGTTCATATAAAAGCAGCCGAACGAAAATTTGAGGATCTACTTATTGACACAATATTAGATTGTTTAAAACTTACCGTCGTCCGTTCCAGATGCCCACATTGTCACCGAGAATTCCCCCTCAAGGGTTTTGATTTGCACTTGCTTCTGCTCCCACTTTCTTGCTTTCGTTTCTGAGCCCATTTCACCGAATATTGCGTGATCGGACGTTCGAAATCTAGAAGCTCCACCTTTTCTAGCTTTCTTCGTACCCTTCCTCGATGGTCCAGGACTCGATTCGACATAAATGTCGTTCTCTGGTACGGGTATCTGATCGTACACGCTCAGTGGATCGGCGCCGACGATTTCCTCTTGCGTCTGTAGAATGATTTCTTCACGGCCTGGTTCCGGTAATGGTTGTAATGCGATCATCGGCTGTCCATCGTCCCCTTCAATAGTCGTTTCCACCGTTTCG